TAACATATGCAGATAACCAAAGCATACCTGGTTTCTGTCTGGATTGCACAGTCAGCCTATCATGACCTGGAAAGTGGATAGCTTGCTCGTTAAGACTGTACTCCTTAGCAGAACATAAATAATAAAAAAATGAAATAGAAAATGTTTCTTGTGTGGCAAGGTTCCTCATGCATCTGGCCAAAGTAATCCCAGTTACAGCAGTGGAGAAGGAACACTCCACTTGTGGTTTCTGTGTGGTTTATTGTGTTTGGCAGTCAATACAGTTCTGCTCCAGTCTAGAGCCACTCCAGCAGTGGTAGAGCAAGAACCGGTGGTAATATCTGCAAATGCCACAGAAAAACTGAGCAATGACACTTTGAAAGTGTACCCCACAGGGTTTCCTCTATGGTTTTCTCCAGCTGATACTGAAATTACTGGAGGGTCTATGGTCTTACCCATATTCCTGCACATATTTCAGTTGCAGAAGAAGGGTATTTAAAAAACATGAACCATGACTTAAATCTGCCACAGCAAAGAGGAGCACAGTTCAAGTGGAAAGGCTTGCTTTTATTTTCTATTTTAAAGCCTTTTGAAATTGCTGTCCTCCTTCTTTCTCTTGCAAAATAAGCAAAAAGCTTGCTCAAATGAAAGGTCAAGTACTTGATCCTGCATAAGCATGAAAGTTTATATTTTTAATAAGAGCATTTAAGCAGATAAGAAAAAGTGATAGAGGAGAAAAATAGTATAAGACTAATAAATCTTGTTATTATTTCTGGCACTATCCTGCAAAAGTAGTGTTTAAGCTAAATGTCTGCAGACACTAAACTCCAACAAAGGTTTCTCTTCCCAGAAAAGGATTGCTTTCTCTTATTGACAGGAACACTGCTAATCTCAGAGAAATTAGTCTTTAAGATAAAAATACACAGAAATGTCATGTGCTACCATGCAGTCATGTTTCCAAATTTTTCTGTATTTTTGAAATCCTTCATACTACTACCAAGGGCACAAAACCAGAACAGTGTCCCAAATAGCCTGTGTTTCTTTCTTTAAAGAAAGGATAGAAGGAAAGTCGGGATGATTCTGTGAAAGAAGAATGCTTTGTTATTTGTTCTGGCCTCTAGCAGCACAGCTCTGGTTCTGCTTACTGAGGTAAGACCACAAAGCCCCCTTGTGTCTAAGATAATTGGCACGCCTGGTTTGGGGGATCAGTTAATGCATGTCTTACAGCTGCTGTATAAAACTGCTGTGGCAGGGGATGCCTCTGGGCTGTGAGGTATCCAAACTTCCCTGCTCAGCTGCCATGCCCCTGGCCTTCCAAAACTTGGCAAAGGAGGCTGTGTAAACCTTGGGGGCACCTGTTCAGCTAGATACATCTTAGCAAACCAGATGGATTGCACCTGGGTGAAACCAGTTAGACCCAGTTCTGGGGAGGTTTGTAGCTGGAGACTGGCACAAGAGAGCAGAGAGGACATCTGCTGAGGTTGAGCCAAAGTACCTATGGTGCGTGAGAGGTACAGAAGAAAGTACAAAGACATAGAAAGCCTGGTGACATAGACACAAACAATCTTTTTGTGGGCAAGATTATTCCCAGCTGAAGAAGAAAGATGGTGAATCCACCATGGAGAGCTGCATGGCATAGTATGGAGAGGTGGAATTCATCAAAGGCAATATCCTGGTCTCTGGAGACATTTCTGCTCTAAATCTCAAGGTGCTTCAGAACAATGACAAAATATATCTGTGTAAATGCTTACAGGTATGTCATTACTTTATGCAATTTACTGCTTTTATTATGCAAGATGAAGTGAAGAAACAGTGGTGGGTTTTGAGCCCTCATGCTTGCTGAGGGTCTAGAACTAACACCATCAGAGTGATACCTTACACCTTTCTCTGCAATGGTTGATATATTTGAAACTTTAAATTCAAAAATTTCCTGTAGAAGGGAGAAGTGAATATGCTTATGTCAGTGTTATGCTCACCTGCATTCCTCTTATGGCATATTATTATATGTACAGTAACCATTCAGCATCCTAGTTGATATAATCTAATATAATATAGAAGGGTATGTGAAAAGGAACAAAACTAACTTTTTCACCTGGCATGAGTATTTTGATGTTCATCCTTAGGAAAAGACTCTAGTGGTTTATAATCAAACTCTGTCTATATATAGCTAATTAATATTGTTGAAATGTTAATGCTTCAGTGGCTGTCAATGTATCCAAGATTATTTTCATGAAACCTGTCATAACCCTGCCATTTCACACTCTCACTTGGGGTGAATCTGCATCACAAATAACTGTGCATATGTAAATTAAATATTAAAACTACACCATTAGAATTAATCAGTCTAAAAATGCAAATTATGAGATTCCCCCACTCTCTGAAGCAGTATCCAACTGAGGAAAGATTATTGCTTACAATACTACACCATTCAGAGTGTCCAGGGATGCTCAGGACAGATTTTCCCATCAGAGAAACATGAATGAGACTTAGACCTGAATGTTCCTGGTCTGTGGGGACCTTGAAAGACTGTCAGCATGCTGGCCAGCAGCAACAGGCATTGCTTGTGGCCAAAGGTGTTAACACTCATCTGACCTTCCCTTAACTCTGATTATCCTAGCCCCTGTGGGATGAGGCAAGGCAGGGAGGTGAGGAGATCAGCAGGTAACACATTGCTTGGCTCTGAGGCTCAGAGCTTAGTGCTCTGGAGAACTGAGCCAGAGGTCTCTCCTGAATATAGGTCTTTGCAGCCCTCCTCATCCCTTTCTTTTGGGATGAACGTTTGAATTTGCAGTGTAGCAGAAACTGTCATTAGCCCTTACAATTACAGAAGTTGTATTTTGTCACCAGTGTTCTGGGGCTGTGGGTTTTTTTGGCTTCTGACTTTCAAAACATGATGGAATCCTGACCGACTGTGTTGCGTGTGATCAAAGGAATTGTCTGATCTCTTTTCTAATGCAAGGTGTGCCATCTGGGAGAGGTGATGTCTGCATGGACAGGAAAGATGTGATTTCAGGGAAGAGCTATCCCTAGACTTCTCTAAGAAGTGGGAAATAGATTATTATTTGTACCTGAGTTCTTCAGTTGGGAATCACCATTACATGCTCTACATGGTACAAGCTTCACATAGACAAACAATATCTGACACAATATAGCCACTCCTGTGAGATGAAAGTGATTTCACAAAAAATTAGTAATATTATCCTGTAAATCCAAACCACCTGGAAGTGTCTATTTGGTGCTTTCTGATTTGTCAACCACTGCTGATTTCTGTGGGAGCACATTTGATAAAATGGTGAGAACCAAAAATAATTATATTTTATCCCAGCACTTTAGCCATCTTGGGCTTTTTCAAAAGACCACCATAACTGGTCCACCCCTAGTGTCAGGTGTGCTAGTTAGATGGAGATGCCAGGTGGAAACCCCAGGTAACTTTTACAATGTTGAATCCTCAACAACAGCATTTTATGTCTTTTCAGCTGCCCCACTCACCACAACCACATGTTGGTTCACAAGCCAGAGATCATTTTAGCCTATGGCTAGGGTAAAAGACAGTTTTATTGGTACTCTGGTCAGATTTAGATATTAATGCTATGGTATGTCAGGAGCTGAGTTTTCAATACAGTGTATCCTTTTAAAAAAATTTCTCCCTATGTGACCAAGAATTGGTCAGGTTCTATTGAAAAAGCAACCTTTAGAATCCATCCTTTCCCAATTACATCAACAGGTGCACAAAACAGACATAAATTTTTGTAAAAGAAACAAATACCAACTTTTTTTTTTGCCTTCCATATCCAAATGCCTGAAACAATCATGTTCAAAGTTTACCATCTGGCTGATAAAAGGCACAGAAGATTTTGGCCAGAAAGCTGGGAGTCCCATAAATTTATAAACTGATAAAAATAGGGTTCACAGCAGAAACACAGAGACAACCTTAATTATAGTATTCTTTCCCATTTGTGTTCATTTGTGTATCTAATAACACAGCCTTATATTGGTCCCTTTTAGAACAATTCCTATTCAAGACAATGTATAAATACGCATAACCATCAATAAATGTTACGGTTACTGACCCTGGTAATCTCAATGTCAATTAGCAATCTTAGTTAATGTACCTCTAGATTGGAGTCAGGTGAGTGGCAATCACAGACTGACTGACTTGCTGGTACATATATTTCTATAACATTTATTGTCTCGTGTACTCAGCAAAGCTGTGTGTGTCTCTACACAGCAAAGCTGGAATATGCAGGTATTTGGTCAACTAAATAAAAGCCACATCCCTTGGGGAGAGTAAAAAGTTTGGAACAGCCGTCAATGCAGACAATGAAAGTATTTCCTTTATTATGTACACAGGGAAATCCACGTTAGCATACAGTAAGGACTGGGTTATTGTAGCTGCACACACATGCACACAGAGAGAAGCACAAAAAGAAGGAATGCAGAGCTATTAATTGGGATTTGTATTCTAATTTATTCTCTCCACAGAAAAGGAAGAAACAGATGCTGATGGCTCCCCGTTTTTCCCATACACAATCTGTCCACACTGCCAGCAAAAAGGAGAGGCTACCTTTGTTTCGTGTGTATCTGCTCTTGCTACAGTACAAAAATGCTCCTTTGTTGAGCTCGGTAGCAGGACTGCACGGAGGTGTAAGGAATCTAAGACCCCATCCTGTACTTTTTATCACCTCCCCAGGGGATTACACACTCAGCACAATACAGTCATTAAAAATAGTTACACATGAAAAGACCCAGCTCCTCATCAGCTCGCTGATGTGTCACTTTACTGACATGCAGCAGTAATTGCTGTGATAAGAAATTCGTCTTTTTGTCCTCTTCACACCCCTCCCCGCGCACTCAGGAGAAAGGGGGACCAGCAATCTCTCTCCTCTGCATCCTTCCCCCAAAACCCACTGGGATATTAAGCAGCCCTCTCTTCCTCTCCGCACCCTTTGTTTAAAGCGACACCTCCAAAGATATGTTCTGTGGGTAGTGGGAGGGAAGGGGAGAAAGGGGTATTTACTTACAGAGCAGCAGCGGGCAGTTAATGCCACCTCCTGGAGCGGGGACAGGGGGTCACATCCACTAACAGATGTGCAAGGAGCACGCTGGCCTGCCTGCAGCGCAGAGCTGTACTGCCAGCCCGGGCTCTCTGCTGCCTGCACAGAGCGGCTCTGCCGATCGCAGCTCTGCAGTCAGCGCTGTGTGGAAAGAGGCTGCTGCCTTCCCCAGCCCAGTGAAACCCCTCGCTATCATTTTACCATATAAGGACACAAAAGCATCGGAGACTCTCGTTCTTTGAGGAGCTCTGCAGCTGGCATTCGACACTTTCTCTATTGCAAGGGTGTCAATACTTCCCCCTCCTAAACATCTTGTCTTTCTTGGCCCCCTTCCTAAAATAAGGCTCCCTCTCCCCTCCTCCAGCCTTTGTTTCTCTAAAGCCATGATGCTCATTAATAACACGGCTTTGCTAAATCTGAGAGCTCGCTCTTTACAGAAGGAGAGGTTTTACAGCAGCTCAAGACCAAACATTTGTAAGGCTCTTCACCTGGCTGAGAGAATAAAGTCCTTGGTTAAAATTGGTATGAGGCTTTATTTGCTTTGGTCGTTTTGCCTGCTGAGTGTCTTGCCAAAGAAGAGTGAAACAACCTGTCTCTCTTCTCCTTTGTGGAGAGGTGCACATTTTTACAAAGACCAAGTGTACAGGCATTTCTTTATCAGCATTTGGACCCCAGTCAAGTTTCTCTCCACCCTTCTTTCTTACCAAGCTTCCCCATAATCAGGAGGAAAACGAACAAAAGCAGGGGAAATCAATGAAACCAAAACCAACCATCTCTTTGTAAGAAAAAGCCAAAGGAACAGCTTGTCTCAGCACATGCTCAGTACCCAGTTGAGAGCCTTGCCAGTGTGCACATGGTAAGAAGAGAGGGAACTATTAATCCTGCTATAATCAGGAACTACTTTTCCTGCTACAAAATCCAATTTCATTTATCAACCATTCTAGCAGAAACACATTCTGCTAATCAAAACAGTGAAGGTCCTGGGAAACCTCCCAGAGGGAGAATTTGGATGAGAAGCACATGGGAGATGTCTGCTCTCTGCAGCTTGAGGGCTAGGCTTGGGAAGGCAATTCAGGGTAATTCTTCAGTAATGACTGGTGCTTGCCAAAGGGAGGTGCTTTAATATGAATGCTTCCAACCTCAAGGGATACCAGAAGGATAAATATGTAAAGCCCATTATCCCAAGAGAGTCTTGCTGTTGTTTTGCATCTAGAAGATACCAGGTAGTCCAGTTTTGGATACTGGGTTCTGGCGCGTGCCTCAGCGGTGGAGTAAATGTGCACATGGGCTAGATAAGGGTTTCTCCTGCAAAACGAACTTATGCCAGAACCCTGCCCTGTACTTTCTGTCCTCTTATCCACCCAAATACAGCCAGATTTGAAATGGGGGTAAAATGTGTTGGTTGGTCTCAATGCTACTCCAAATCTAGAAAAGCACAGAATAAAATGGTGGGGAGGGACCATTCCTGGTTCTTTTATAAGAAAACAACTTTCATTTACAGATGTGAGTTATTTTGGTGGCCAGCAATGATCTGTCTGTCAGTTGATCCAGCCTTTGCTGTTGAGTTCTCAAAACACAGGCATCATGCCCTGGAGGACTGACAATGGACATACAGGATTAAGAATGCCATGGCAATTAAATCTTATTAAAATCAAAGCTGCTGCACTCCCCAGCCACATGGGGAGTCCCTGATTCTTCCTTTGAATTTGCAGTGGCACTGTAAAATGAATTAAACCAGTGAGTGAAAAATTTTCATTGAACCCATGAGCTACCTTGGAGCTGCACCTATATCTTGGGAGAGCTATACTGGCTGGGTTTCCAGTCCCATCAGTGACTTCCTGGATGCCCTTGGACAGAACATTTCATCTTTCTGTTCATTAGCTTCACTGTCTGTCAATATAAAGCTCAGGACAGCCAAACTCACGTGTAAGTTGCTAGGAAATTTACCAAGGACTAGCTAGAGTATGAATGTATTAGGAGGAATAGTTTCTCTCTTTTAGGTTAAACTATTGCACAGTGGCAACAATAATTATTTATTTTCATCTTAGTTACTGTTCTTACCTCAACTCTAATTTAGTAGTGTACATTGAAAAGGAGAAAGGCCTTGAAGGTGATTAGAATTGGGCTATTTGATTCCAAACTTTTCTAAACAAACTATTTTGAATGTGTCAGAAAAACATCAATATGTTTTTCAATATTCCTGATATTTTTATTTCCCCATCTGTCCATTGACAGCTACTGCAGAAAGTCTGACAGAGATTTTCTGATGATCCTTGTCATACAAGGCAAGTGTTTTCCACAATTATATGTTTAAATATATACTGACTCCAGCGGAAATGATTTAGTTTATCTGTTGCAGGTCTGGGTTGACTAAGGAAGATAAGGTAATTTTTGCCTAATTTAATATATCACCTCTGACTCCTTGGAGAAAGAAGAAGCTCTGCCAATTTAAAACCCACTGATTTGTGAGCTCACTATGGGACTTGACACTCAGCAGCCACCTCAAGACTATTTGGAGCTGTGAAAGAGATGCGGAAGGTTACCAGGCACACCTTCCCTCATCCCATAATGAGGTGTATGCATTCCATCAAACACTTCTAGGGAAGGTATAGGGAGTGCCAGACCTCTTACCCTCCTTCAGGACCACTCACCCCACATTTATCTGGCAAGTAAATATTCATCAGTGATTGGCAGCCCTTCCCAGCCCCTTTCCCACCAGAATCAAATCCAACAGGTGTGGGTGGGTGGGAGAGCCACAAATGCCATTAATTTTCAGAGAGATGGGGAGGAAAGGGCAGAGGACCTTTCACTAACAAATTTATTATGTAACCCAGTTCTTCTTTCTCTGTATATGTATTTTATATTTCATTTTTACTTCATTGGTTCTCTAAAGAACCTAGCAGAGATGAGGCATCTTCAAGGTTTCAGAGGAGTGAATGCAATGAAAATGGGGGCAATGCTTCCAATAGGGGACCTAAATCAAGAGTGGAAATGCAAGTACCATACAGTGATTTATAAGCATCCTATGGTTTATATTTATCTTTTCCTCATGTATATGGCATTTACACAGCATATTGCTTGTTCTTCAGTGGTCTGTGTGTTTAACAGGTTAATTTTATGTGTAGAATGCTGTACCTCCCATATGAGGAAAAAAGATGGGAATAGTACCATTTTCATAGCAGGACTTCTCAATGATTTTACTAAGCCCTCATAAGTCTCACTTCAGCTACTGGACTGATGGTGGCATAACTGTAATTTCAGCACTTATCTCCTTTTCTGGCTGAAAAGAATGAACAAAGAAAAGTAGTGGAAAGAGACAGCTGGGAGTGGAATATTTTTATTTCCCCCAGTTTGAGACACAGAGAAATAGAATGTCTCTGAGAGAAGGGGAGGGGAAAATAATACACTTTTAGGTTTGAAAATGGCTAAGCTACTGGCTGATTCCTTACTCCACCAATTTATCATGGAAACTGTTAAGTTACTTTATCAGAATTCAACTAATTCCCTTTTTGATGCTTGAGTCTGTGTAACACAAGCTTCAATTGAATATGAGAGGGTGCATTTAGGAGAGCTGCTATTTTTGGCACTACTACTTAGGAAGGAGTGTAGACTAGTGCAGATGTTGCATTTTAGTTCATTAAACCTAAAATAACAGCTGGGCAATATGAAATCTCCCTGAAATTTCATTCTTATAAAATGCTCAGATAAGTATTTTCCCCAAGATTATGAGGAATTTACAAAGGATGAAAAGATATTTTCAGCATGTATTTTCTTTCCCAACTCAGTTTCCAAGTCACAAGGCTTTTTGCAATATTCTGATCTTCCTTTCTTCCCCTAGGAGACTTGAACCTCAAGTAGAAAGACACATCAGGTAAGAAATATCAGTTCTGCAGATTCTGATGAGGGAATTACAGATATCTTTGGACAATCCATTGAAACCACCCCAGACAAGGCAGATAGAGAAAGTCTGTCTGCTTTGGGATCATGCAAGACTTCTATTATTGATGTTTAGCCTAAATCAATGTGGAAACATTAGTCATTTAGAAACTCCAATCTAATCTGTAAAAAAAAATACTTCCATGTTTACTTTCTTAATATGTTTAAATAGTTTTCACATGCAGTGCTAAACAATTTATTCAGGAATTTAGAGAAAGATGCCATGGCTGAGTAGCATCAAAGAACTTCAGTTTTCCATAGGAAAAGTTATCTTTAGAAGGATAACATGATGCTGTGTGATAATAGAGATCATTGAGACTCAAATACATGTGTGTCTCTATGATAGCATGGTCTGGGATAGAGACGAAAGCATTGTAGAATATAATGGCCAGTTTGGACAAAGATTTCATTAATTTTTTTAAGTTAGGACTTTCGATCCATTTAGCCCCAGTTTCATTCAGAGAAATCTATCTCCTGAAAGAGATGTCCCAAAGTGGATATGGCAGTGAGACACCTGTCAGGATGTGGCCTGTCACTTTCTGTGTAATTGCTCCCATACCCTTCCTTCTGTGAAGAACTGAGATGCAAGAGAGGGCTTGCAGTGGATGACCCAGGCAGAAGGACAGCTGTGTCCCTTTTTCTGCTGCTTTCCTCTCTACCAGCTGAGTAGATAAACAGCTTTTATCACTGATGTGCAGAGGAACAAAATTTGATCACAGAGGACAGGTGTAGTGGTGCTTGACGAAGAAGAAGATAGAACACCAGAGGAAGCTTCATGCATCAACATAGGGCTTAAAAGAATGGTATCTGCCAAGGAAAATCCCTCTTGTTGACAGATGAGTTTCCAAAAGCTTGGAAAGATGAGGCACTGTGTTACAGGACTGACAAGTCCTTCACTGGACAAGCAGTATTGTCAGAAAATCTATCCCAGGACCTCATGGATTAAAAAAAAAACTATAGAGGCCATTGCAGGATAGAGGCAGCCCATCAAACAGCTCCCCAAGCAGTTAGCTGCCTGTACCATGTGGGGCAGCCATCCTGAACAGCCCTCACCAGGCTGTGAACTGCATGAAGAAATAATGAAGATTTACAACAAAGAGAGTGGAAGACAACAATTCTTATGGAATACAGTCTTTTCATCTACTTTCCCTAGCATTATTTCTCATTCTTTCCCCTCACTAAGGAACAGGTGGTGCCTTTAATTTTAAGGAAA